ATACCTTCCTTTTTCTTGAAAACCCACTTGTAACCAACTATTTTCTTATTTGACAGCGGCTTAACAAGAACCCAAGTTTCATTTTGATGAAGAGATTCAATTTCTTCAGTCATCGCAATCAACTACTTTGCAGAATCATCACAAGAAACTGCTTCTGAATATGTGGAAGACTCACCAATTGCATCTGTTTCTTCTGCAACAGACAAAGCATATGCAACTAAATTTGCATATCTTTGTGGTGGTCGAATGTCTCTCCTTTGTCTATCTCTGGCTATGGAATACTCCTCTTCTTCTGAAGTATCTTCAACAGTAGATTCAGGTGCATCTATTAGTACTTGCTGAATAGAAGATTTGGAATGAGAAGGACCAGAACTGCCAATATCAAGCTCCACATGCTTCTATGTACTATCAATAGTACAAGAACTAGAAGACTCCTTCTGGGAAGATAACATAGACAATGCATCAAAAATAACATCTCTATTGATTACAAATTTTAGAGATTTGGGATCAGGACATCATAATTTGTATCCTTTCACCCCAAAAGTATACCTAAGAAATATGCACTTTTTAACCCTAGACTTCAATTTTCCATTATTCATGTGCATGTATACTGGACACCAAAAACTTTTAAATTGGAGTAATCAGTAGGAGTATCTGACCAAACTTTGTCAGGAATTTTGAAATCTAGAGATGCAGAAGAAGAACGGTTGACAATATAACAGGCCATATTTATCGCCTCTGCCCAAAAGTCATTTGTCAACCCTGTATTGGAGATCATACATCTTGCTCTCTCCAAAAGTGTTCTGTTCATACGTTCGGCCACACTATTTTGTTGAGGCGTCATCCTGACGGGGTAATGCCGAACAATTCCTTCATTCTTACAAAATTCATTAAATTCACCTTCACAAAATTTCATGTCATTATCTGTTCTCAACCGTTTAACATGTTTTCTTGTTTGTTTCTCAATTAAAAATTTTTATTGCTTGAAAGTTAGGAAAACATCATTTTTATGTTTAAGAAAATATATCCAAACTTTTCTTGAATAATTATCAATGAAAGTCAATATGTACCTAGCACATCTTTTAGAAGGAGCACGAGAAGGACCCCATAGATCTGAATGAATGTAATCAAGAGTACATTTTGTCTTGTAAATTGCTAGTAAACTGAAGCTGACTCTTTTCTGCTTCGCAAAAATACAATGTTCACAGAATTCCAATGGCCCGGTACTTTGTCCACAAAGAAGTCCTCTTTTGCTCAGTATGTCCAAATCTTTTTCGCTCATGTGCCCCAAACGCATATGCCATAGGTAATGTCTATATCTGACAAAGATGATGTTGAAACAGTAGCAGCACCTCAAACAGTAGATGCCTACAAAATATATAAAGTACCAGATCTATGTGCCTTCATAACAACAAGAGCACCTCGAGTGATTTTGAGAACTCCATCTCCACCTGAATACTCGCACCCAATAGACTCAAGAGTGCCCAAAGAGATGAGATTTTTCTTCAAATCTGGAACAAGTCTAACATCTGTGAGCGTTCTCACAATATCATCATACATTTTAATCCGGATTGTGCCTTTGCCAATAACTTTGCAAACAGCGTTGTTACCCATTAAGACAACTCCACGTTCAGTTGATTCATATATTGAAAACCAGTCCCTATTGGGACACATATGATACGAACAACTCGAATCTAAAATTCACTCACTATTAGACCTAAAATTATTTTCCGTTGTATAGAAAATGGTTCCATCATTCTCATCAGTTGCTATACTAGGTTCAGCGGATTCAGTATTTTTCTTAACAAATTTTTCTTTTTGCTTTTCTTTATTTTTCAATTTAAAGCAATTAGAGATAATATGGCCATTCTTTTTACAATGGTTGCACATCACATTTTTATGTCTGGACTTGGATCTATTTCTATTTTCTGTGTTTCTCTTTTCAGATCTATCCGGAACAAACAAGCCATCGGCTTGACTCCCACTAGTTTCCCCAATAATATCCCTATTTATCTGCTCTTTAGATTTTAATACAGATTTAATTTCTTGATATGAAATTGTTTACTTTCCATAAATCATAGTATCACGAAAATACTTAAAGAACTGGGGAAGGGAACACAAAAGTAATAGGGCTTGATCTTCATCATCAATTTTTGAATCTATATTCTCCAAATCCATAATAATGGAATCGAATTTATCAAGATATGAGAGTATAGATGTACTTTCAGATATCTGAAACATATACAAACTCTATTTCAAATATAGCCGATTTTCGACTGTTTTCTTCATATACAAGGTTTTTAATTTATCCCACATAGTCTTGACCGAAGTCTCCATTGCTACCTCACGCAATACCTCATTGGAGAGATTAAAAATTATGCTGGATCTAACTTTTTTATCCATATCGACGAAATCCACATCCTTTACATCTTTTGGCTTTTTCTCAATTCCTTGAATTACCAAGTCAACTCCACCTTGAACAAGAATGGCCTCCATCTTGAGCTGCCACATGCCGAAATTGATATTCCTGTCGAATTTTTCGACAACTGTCTTTGTTATCTTCATTGTTGCCACAAAATTTGTAACCTGAAATTTGTCTCAAAAATTGGTCAAACAAATATGCAAGTCTCGTGAGCGATCCCCACGAGATAAGCGGGTCCCACGAGATGAACGGACCCCATAAGGTGAGCAGGCCCCATAGATAAACGGGCCCCACTGGATGAGTGGACTCCACAGGATGGACGGGTCCCACCAGATGAACGGGTCCCACGAGATGAACCTGTCTTACAAAATATATCAACCAACTCTGATACCAGTTTGTTAGGACTGGCCCAGGAATAAACAAACTAAAGTTAGAATAAAATAGGCACTATAACCGACCATATAATGATTAGGCGGTAGACACCAGCCATACAATAATTAGGTGGTAAAACTGACCATATAAAGGGGTTGTGGCAACATAATAAAGACAAATAATAAAGCAAATAAAAGACACAGAAATTTACGTGGTTCGATCAAATTGACCTACGTCCATGGGTAAGGGAGGAGCAATATTTCTACTAAGAAGAAGAAATACAAAAATCGTAGGAAAGTGGTTCCTAGGCCAAAAGACACTTATAAAGGTTTAGGAAATATTCTTAAATACAAAATAAGATAGCCTAAAATATTTGACTACAAATGAGTTAGATGACTCAAGAAACTAATAGTCCATACAACTCTCTTGAGTGGTGCACTTAAAAACTTTCATAGGCCCTTCTATTTATTGGCTCTCCAAAGGAGCCTTCCTGCTGCTGGTTTCGATGTGGGATGAAAGGAAGAAAACTTCCTTACGCAGCATCTGATGTGGGACGAAGAATTTTTGCCACACAAGGTCAAACCTTGCGGCTCAACAAGTTGATGTCATGCCACTCTAAAACAAAGTTATTAAACCCGGTCTGTCTAAGCAGTTCAACAAAATAATCCAGGGAACCAGCCATTTAACTGGGTTGGATTGAAAGTTGGAGAGGATAATAAAGATTACTATTGAGAAGTCATGAACCCATCGCTTCAACTGGTGAACACCGAAACTAAATGGATTTAATCACAAGTTCAATAATTATATTTTCTTAACAATTATATTTTATTATATTATGACCCATTAGCTCAACCAAGTTACCGGGTTGATGACTAGGCTGGATTTAATTATTGTGCTCTAACATGTTTCAAAATAACGAATTTAATAAGTTGTAGCTTATGAATAGATGAAGTTCATAATTATTTTATTGTCCAAAAATATATTTGAGTTATTGGTGCCACGAGAATTGATTAAACAAACTATATTCATTTTGTCAAAATTGATGTTGTCTAACCCCGTTTGAGAAATTGATGTCAAAATTGATGTTGCCAAGAGCATTGATTAAATGAACTATATTCATTTTTGTCATAATTGAAGTTGTCAAATCCGCAACTTGTCGATTAAGTGGCAGATGAATGACATTTCTTCAACCTACCACAGTATTTCGACTTGTTGGTTACAAATTGTTAAACAATAAGTTTTCCCAAAAAAAAAACCTACAAATTGACTTCATCAGCTGTAGAATAAAATTAATTAGAATTAACATGGTACTTCCAAATTAATCATTTAAATCAGATATGGTGACGGAGAAGGATTGTACCAAAGCCATCTCTTTGATTCACCCTCTATAATTGCATGCTCTCCATCAGCTAACAAATTCATCATTCAATCGGATGCAAACTTTGGCATGGGATGGCCTGCCACTCAAATTATAGGCAACAATTCCCTCCTTTTCCTTCGAGGATCATCACATGCAAGGATTAGAGGCTTAGTTGGGAAGGCTATTAATCAACCTGATGCTCTCCGTAAGATAGCCATTATGGTCGAGCCAAGAATAGTTGCAGCCCTTCAGCAGTGGTCAAAAAAGGGGAGAATTGTAGCATTGCAAGATGCAAAGAAGGTAGACTAATATGCGTATAAAAAATATAGATCTAAATAATATTTTCTTGATGTAAGTTGTCATACTAATTTCAACTTTCCTGAAATCTCTCCCGGCCATCATTTTCCTTATTTTTCATTATTTTTTCATTGTCCTTGACAGTTACTTATGAAAATATTGGGAAGTAGATTTTCATTATTTTTTTTTTGGCAGAAAGAGATTTATCAAAAAGTAACTAAAGTTTGACAAATAAGACACAGTTAACACATGAGAAATAAAGGAAAATGTAAAAGCAAAGCTTAGAAAATGTCTCATTGATAAGGATCATAATTTTCCCTTTCCCCTTCTATCCTTAGTCTTTATGTCACTTAGGCTTCAAAGAATAGTTGGACCTCCTTAGCCTTGCCATCTTCATCCCGATCTTCATCTCAGTTTGTTGAGCCGTAATACATAATATATTGTATGAGTTGAATTAGTCCACCAAGGGTCCCAAGGCCATTGGGAATCACGAGCCAGGGATCGAATCTAAGGAAAGCATATGAAAACCAAACAGCACCATTCACAAAATTAGCAAGCGACGATGAGAATGGCATGTATCTCACATTCTATCTTAATTACGCTGCACATAACAGTCAATGGTGAAAAGTACATCCCAACATTGAGGATTGTGTGCAAGACGCTGACAAATAATGACCTATTGCTACCATCCGGAGCCCTTAAGGCGATGATGATGACTATGGCCAAAATCACTTCTTCACCTGCAAGAAAATGGAAGATTTTTTTGTGTTTTTGCCAATTGGAATAGATGATGAACAAGGTGACAAAGATGGCCTCAATTATAAGTCCAGCACCGTTGATCGTTGAAACCAAAATGCTATCCTTCTTGACGATTGGAAGGCCATAGAACACCCACATTGCACAATTCAATGTTGTGGCAAGGTAGGGGTCTGGCTTGAAATGTTGAACAGACATGGCTTTCCCTATGTTTACGAATGTGGGCGTCGGGGAGACAAACATGCCAAAGGATATGACGTTTCCAATTACTCCTATGATGGTCCTTGCAAGTTCCTTGTGAGCCATCCCTGAATTTGTTAAGATGTTGTGAGTGGAAACTAAAAGAGTTAGAAGTCAACCAATTAAAATACCCAGAACTGCTTATCATGACGCCCTCCAGGTTAGCAAGCATGATGCATTAAACCAAAAAATAATAATAATGATGTATGTATTGCTAGTATGGACCAATTTTAATTTGCTTCATTCTTCTTGTGCTACTTAAATAAAAAAAATTATTTAAGATGACATTTTACTTTATACAAAATTACATATAGTATCAAAGTCTCTACTTTTTTGTATATAACATTGTCAAAATTTAAATTTGCCCAAAATGTTAGGTGTTCGAACTTAAAGATCATTGATTGACAAAGGTATATGACTTTAGTGAAAACGGAGTATAAAAAGATTTTTTTGGGGGGAAACTAAGAAGGTTTTTGATTATGGATGTTGAAATCATTAGAAGTGAACCTTGGTAATAAAAACCTCACAAGGTTAAGTACGATGAATGAAATATTTTTTTAGGGACTAATATTATTTTGCATGCACAGACTTTATACCATTTCCCACTTTGTACCCCCAAATATAATATGCTACACATTGCATCCTTTAACCTTTTCTGATGAGGCAACCTTAACTTTAACATATATATGTCCCATTACGGACTTTAGTCCAATGGCACTAACACTATTGAAAGATAAGGGAGATGAAGCCTGTCAGCAGCATAGTTCTTAATCCTGTGATGATTCCTCCATATACTGAAAATTCTTTATCAGTTGAAAATGTTAGTTTTTTTTCCTCAAGTATAAAGTGCAAAATAAGATTTCATGCAAAGTTTGAGGCATAAAGTGGAACGATGCTCTCTCTTAAACTAAAATGGTAGCATGGACCAGATTCGACACCTGTTAGGATTCACACTTCGTCGATATCATTAGTAGTAGATTTTAAATTTTCTTTTCCCTTTCTTACTTTGAACATGAACCCTAAGAGAAACATATCACCAGAGCCATTTTAGTCAAAAAAAAAAAAAAGAATATCAACTGAGCCTCAATGAATTTGAATTTAATAATAGCTCCATTTATGGAGAATGCACAAAAATATATCACAATTTGGAAAACTAGTATCTAAAAAAAGAGGAAGAAACATGAAAAACATGAAATTAGAAGGCAGACAACCAAAAGCCTAGAGAACTACATGGTATTGTTGTAGAGGAAGAATAATATTTCCATAAACATGTCATTTTTTTATATAAATTTCTATTATAGATGTCACATAGCAAAATCTAAAGAACTAGAATAAATTCAGAGAACACATCCATATCCTAGAATGTTTCATAGCTATCAAAACTGAATTATCCAAGCACAAAGTGTAAAACCCAAAAAATTTGATAAAACAACTATAGTAAAAATATATTTCATAAAATCAATGTATATCAGGTGGCAAAATATGTGTGCAAGAAGAGGAATAAATCAACAGTATAATATTAATTATACGATAAGCACGAGCTACACATCCACATTCTAGAAAGTTTCATATCTTTCAAAACTAAATGATCCAAGCACCAAGTGTAGAACCCAAAATATTTTATCCAAAAACTATAGAAGATAAATTTCATAAAATCAATGTATATAAGGAGGCAAAATATGTGTGAGAAAAGAGGAATAAGTCAACAATATACAATCAAGGTATAGTAAAACAATTTGATAAAAATATATTTCATAAAACAACTATAGTAAAAATATTTCATAGTAAAACAACTATAGTAAATTTGATAAAACAACTACAGCAAAAATATATGTCATAAAATCAATGTATATCAAGTGGCAAAATATGTGTGCAAGAAGAGGAATAAATCAACAACATAATATTAATTATACGATAGGAACAAGCTACACATCCACATTCTAGAAAGTTTCATATCTTTCAAAACTAAATGATCCAAGCACCAAGTGTAGAACCCAAAATATTTTATCCAAAAACTATAGAAGATAAATTTCATAAAATCAATGTATATAGGGAGGCAAAATATGTGTGAGAAAAGAGGAATAAGTCAACAATATACCATAGGTGTCGCGCCCTACTTTTTGATAATGGTGTGGAAGTAGTGTGTGAAATATGTATGTGAACGTGTGCGAAAGTGAAAATAAAGGCCGTGGGATTGTGAAATGCGACGGTTTGGCCAAATAAAGTTCAAAAAGGGTTTTTGGATGAAAAATGGAGTCGCCACTTGGTATGGAGTTAGGGTGTACCAAGTCACCCAAAAATGATTTTTTTTGTTTTGTTTTTGAAAGAAAAAGTAAGCAAACCCTTTTAAAGAACTTTTAGGTCTACGCAACCAAAGAGAGGGATCGGGGGTCACATTTGATAAGGGAGAAGGCAAAGGCAACGCCTAAGGTACTCCCTTACCCTAGCCAAAGCTAGTTGCGTGACTTAGCCTCTACTTTTCCTAATTTTTCTATCCAAGGTACGTATCGCATGTTGGATATGACTAATGGATGCGAAAAGGAAAGAAAAATGCAATCCTAAACCTAAAATGTTTCTCATGAGACTTTTAGGTCCCAACCACATGAATTGTGGTGGCCAATAAGGATAGCTCTCATGGAAGTCGTGATTAATGCAAGTGAGGACTCAAGTGCAAGTGTGCAAGTGTGAGAAAATAAAGGTGCTTGTGTGTGCAAATGAGTGAAAATAGGATATTAGATACGTATAAGTGCAATTTGAGTGCCATTTGTGAGGTAGAAAAATAAATGAGAGATAGGAAAAAGGTGATGAGAAAATGGATTGAGAAAAATCTAAGTAGTGAGAAAATGTGGCTAAAAGAGTGAGGAGGTGATATAAAAAGAATGCAAGTGTATGACCCTAAGGGAATGCATCAGGTCGGGCACGGGAAGAACTCCTAACTTTACGACTTTGATTTCCCTTGAATTAGAAGGAAGAACTAGCGTGCTAAGGCTATTTTGTAGCCAAACTCGCTCGTTTCCCTTATCGAAAGGGGACTCTCAAGCAAATGTACCCTATAACTAGCATGAAGATGCAAAAAGCCTAAAATGAGGGGAAAAAGATTGGAGGAGCATGCCAAATGATAAAAACTAAGAAAAATGCATGAAATGTAGTGAACATGCAAGTATGCACTAACGAAAGGAGGACGGCCTATTGGGTCTAGCGTTGGACTAGCCCTTTCTATGAATTCCTAACAGAATAATGAGCCACAACTAGCATTGGACTAGTGTGGTGACGTACATTCATCCATCACATTCATCTACGACTATAGAAAGCAAGTAGACATGCCAAACACTCATAAACACATAGCACATAACACTTAGCATGCTCGACTAGATGCAAGAACCTAATAAAGCAAGTAACACATATCAACAAAGGCAAATAACCAAGCCAATGAACCTATTACATTTGCTAACTAAAACAAAAGGGGAAGGCGAAGAATGGACAAGAATGCTTGCCAAGTCCTATCTATTACAAGCCAAGGGGTGTACACATGCCCCATTAAAAGAATAACTTAATAAAAACAAGAGTAAATGAAATAAAGGAACTAAAGAAAGGCAAGGAAAGCAAATTAGACATGCAAATCTCACTTAGCACGTTGGATCACATAGGAGAGACAAAAAAGGATAAAAGAAATTATACCTCCCCCTTTTGTGGTGCTAATAAGGTGGACAACACTTAACTTGAGCTATAGTCACCAAAGAAAAGGATGACTTGGGCTAAAACCATCAAAACAAAAGATTAATGCACCAATTTAATGGTAAAATGTAAATAAGACAATCGGAATCCATCAAACATCGAATCCTTCCTCACTTGCAACTTAAAAATAATCAAGTAATGAATAATTTCCAAGCAAAAGTGAAACCTTGATCAAATTTATAAAATAGCCAAAAGACTAAAAACTCAATAGCAACCATTAATCAATCAACCCAAAGCCAATTGAAACGTTTTAAAATCTTTAAAGGTCCAAGAGCAAGAAAAGGTCAAGTAACCAATTTATTTAGGGAAATTAAAGAAAATAGGAAAAACACAAGCTCATTTAGACTCAAAGTTCACCAATTCATGCATTAAATACAACCTAACAAAACATGGTAATTAATGAAAGCAAACAAACAATCAAGTTGAAAAATTGAATCTATCAAGGACTCAATTGCGAACATTAGCCAAGCACTCAAGCCTAATTAAACATTTTTTAAGAACTTCAAGGGTCCAAGGGCAAAGAAAAAGTCAAGTAAAGGTTAAAATGCAACTACTTTAGGACCCGATTGCAAGAATTTAGAACATTATTGGGCCTTTATAGAACAAAGGGGGACTTGAGGGGTCAAAGTGCAATTTTAGAAAGTTATTTCATGCAATCTTCATGTAAAGACGTGAGAAGCATTCTGCAACAAACAAAGATGAAACTTGCAGCATTTCCGTTTCCTTCTCAGATTTCGGACTTAAAGATACAGCTTGGCTCGAAGATAGACCAAAATCATAGTTTGAAGCTAAACAAAACACACCACTTCAGCATCCAAACAGGCAGCAAAAGACGCTCATTTTCCTGAAATTTTCGTGCAAATGTAGCAAGGAAAACTACTGCAACAGAAAAGAAAGCTTGCTACAATATACCGAGCTTCTCAAATAAATGAAATCATAATGCAACTAACATACCAGCTGACCAAGCAAAGCCTTGACATTAAACCCAAAGCAAATACAAACTTCAACAAGCCAGTAACTTAGTCATAAAATCATGCAAAATCTGAAAATGCATGCAAAGATTTGGAAACTTCATTATCCTTTGCTACAAAGTTTACGAAGCATCTCACTTCCTCATAGCTGACTTCTATTTCCAGAATTTTCGCAGCTTATTGGCAACCAGAAAAACTTAAACAAGGCCCCAACATCCAAGCTTCAAAGTACGTAATACAACCCGTAACTTCGATGTCCAGACAAACAAGAAAAACTTAGGACAGTATCCTGAACAATTCTGGAAAAACATCTATGCAAAAATGGTTCGACAACTCGCTATTCAATCGTCTGCAAATTTT